GATTCTGCGAGGCCCGACTGTGCTTTCGCCATTGTGCAGAAATGCTCACAATCACACCTTTCAACGGCCCGGCCCTTCTCGCAGACTGGCCGACTTGATGTGGTACCAAACAGAGCGCAACAGTGACACAATTGCCTCACCTCGGTCTCCCCACACGACGCGATGGGTCGTCTTCTCCGCACATCGTCCAGCGTCGTCGTTGCGTCCATTTCAATCCATGCGCCGACACAATTGTTGCCGGCCTATTTGTCCATTCTCCTCCTCTTTGTCTGTCCCTTTGTCTACCGCCCTGTGCGGTTGTCTGACCTTAAGCCGTCACGCATACCATCAGCCCTCTTCGGCCAATATCCAGCCTCAGCACATTCCAGATCACCACCTCCGTCGTGTAGTTTCATGACATGCTTGAAGAGTTGTTGGACCACTTCTAGTTTCTCCTTCACATGAATCGACGATCTCGTCAATTCGAGGCGTTTGTTCAGTTTGGTCAATTTTCTTGCTTCGATGAACACAATAGACGGCAAGACGAAAGAAAGCAAGATGGTCTACCTGATCTGGATGTGTTGGTTAGTGTTTGACATCGGACCAAGCCATCTGGGACCCTGTTCGAGTATGAGTTCGGTGAATTCCGATTGTTGGACTCGTGTTCGGATGACCTTGTTTGTATGAATCTACAGGTCTCTCCCACAAAGGGGAGTGCCACATGATCCGGAGAGCGGGTCAGAATATTCTCGAAGAGGAGGCAATACCGAGGACGGTGTTGTTTTCTCTTTACACATCGTCCTGATGCATATGGTCTGCCCAAAATACGTAAATATGCAATGTAAATTAGGATTATTGGGAATAGTAAAAGAAGCGTGATGCATAAAAAATCACCAGTTTAAGCAAATCTATCATCAATTCGTGAAGTTATTCGAAGAGTAGGAGATAGAAAGTGGCCATTTGCTGGCAGGTTGTCATGTTGAGTCTATGTAGGCTAACATTCCTGTAGATTATGCCATACAGACCGTGCAATCCACACTAGACCGACATGGGGAGATTGTGATGAGCACTTGGTCCAGTAAAGGGTCAATAATGGTACTGACCAACCCAGCGATGTGCTGTACACATTTTACCTTTTGATGGTAAACTGTACGAACAGACACGAGGTTCAGCTTTGATATGATGTTTGTCACCAATTTCGGCAAATAATTACGTCACTCAATTCATGAGGCCCATTGATAGTTCTTTATGTGGAGGAGTACCTTGCGGTTTGCCAGCATAACAACGAGAACCTGTAGATACGAAGAGAAACTTGGTTTCGATGAATCTCCTGAGATAACATTGTTAGGGGGACCTTCATTT